AGCAACCGTGGGTACCTAGCAACTGTTTCCACAGCAACCATGGGTTCCTAGCAACTTGTTTGCTGCAACTGGTCCCTGGCTGAATGTTTCCTAGCAACGTGTTCCTAGCAACGTGTTCTTAGCAACTGCTTCCACAGCAACCGTTGGTTCCTAGCAACTTGTTCCGTGCAACTGGTCCCTGGCTGAATGTTTCCTAGCAACGTGTTCCTAGCAACGTGTTCTTAGCAACTGTTTCCACAGCAACCGTGGGTTCCTGGCAACTTGTTACATGCAACTTGTTCTTAGCAACTGGTCCCTGGCTGAATGTTTCCACAGCAACCGTGGGTTCCTAGCAACGTTCTTAGCAACTTGTTCCTAGCAACTTGTTCCGTGCAACTGGTTCCTAGCAACTGTTTCCACAGCAACCGTGGGTTTCTAGCAACTTGTTTGCTGCAACTTGTTCTTAGCAACTGTTTCCACAGCAACCGTGGGTTCCTGGCAACTTGTTCCGTGCAACTGGTTCCTAGCAACTGTTTCCACAGCAACCGTGGGTTCCTAGCAACTTGTTACGTGCAACTTGTTCCGTGCAACGTGTTCTTGGCAACTGGTCCCTGGCTGAATGTTTCCTCGGCAACCGTGGGTACCTAGCAACTGGTTCCTTGCAACTGGTTCCTAGCAACTGTTTCCACAGCAACCGTGGGTTCCTAGCAACTTGTTCCGTGCAACTGGTTCCTAGCAACTGTTTCCACAGCAACCGTGGGTTCCTAGCAACTTGTTTGCTGCAACTTGTTCCTAGCAACTGGTCCCTGGCTAAATGTTTCCGCAGCAACCGTGGGTTCGTAGCAGCTTGTTCCGTGCAACTTGTTCCTAGCAACTTGTTCCTAGCAACTGTTTCCACGGCAACCGTGGGTTCCTGGCTACTTGTTCCGTGCAACGTGTTCCTAGCAACGTGTTCCTAGCAACTGTTTCCGCGGCAACCGTCCATTCCTGGCAACTTGTTCCGTGCAACGCGTTCCTGGCAACTTGTTCCTAGCAACTTGTTCCTAGCAACTGTTTCCACGGCAACCGTGGGTTCCTGGCTACTTGTTCCGTGCAACGCGTTCCTGGCAACTTGTTCCTAGCAACTTGTTCCTAGCAACTGTTTCCACAGCAACCGCGCGCGTTCCTGGCAACTTGTCCATAGCAACTGTTTCCGCGGCAACCGCGCGCGTTCCTGGCAACTTGTCCCTAGCAACTGTTTCCGCGGCAACCGCGCACGTTCCTGGCAACTTGTCCCTAGCAACTGTTTCCGCGGCAACCCGTGTCCTGGCGATACAAAAAAAAAATTATTTTTTTTGCTGCTTTTTTGCCACGGGAACTCTGCCGCCAGTTGAGTGAAAAGCTCCACCGGGTTTGTGTTGCCTGGTTCCATCTCACTTGGGGAGAGGGGGGAGGGTCATCATCGGTCGCTGAGCGAGAGACGGATGAGAACCTCCTGCTACGTTTGGAGACATCAAGGTTAAGGTTTAAACAACAACAAAAATAAATAACATTTTTGCTCAACGACACTGGGGGGGGGGTGGGGGTGGAGTGTGTGTGTGTGTGGGTGGGGTGAGGTTTTGGTGGGTGGGCGAGGTTTTGGTGGGTGGGTGGGTGAGGTTTTGGTGGGTGGGCGAGGTTTTGGTGGGTGGGTGGGTGGGTGAGGTGATGTGGGGAGAGAGGGGGGCCCGCTGTGGTACGGTTAAATAAACAGGGAGGGTGGGGGGAGAGATGTTATATGGTTGATTAAGGTAACCCGCCAGGTTCTGCGTTGACGGTGATGATAGTTTTAGCGACCCACAACCTAGATCCACCTCTGTTTATGGCTCTTGAGTGTCGGTTGAAAATAATGGAGGGACGGTCGCTTAAAGTCTTCGGTTATTGGTGTCTGCCCAGTTGAATAAAGGATTGTGTGTCACTGTGTGTGTCACTGTGTGTGCCACTGTGTGTGTCACTGTGTGTGTACCTGTGTGTGTACGTCTCACTGTGTGTGTACCTATGTGTTTGTTCCACTGTGTGTGCACCTGGCACATACTGTAACAACTACAGGGGCATCTCACTCCTCAGTGTGCCGGGAAAGGTCCTGGCAAGGATTATTCAACATCGCCTTGCCAGGCACGCTGAGGAGAGGCTTGCGGAGCCCCAATGAGGTTTCAGTAAAGAGCGGTCCTGCACAGATGCCATATTTTCTGTCCGTCTGCTACAGCAGAGGTGTAGGGAATTCCAGCAAGGTCTACATCTCTGCTTTATTGACCTGGTCAAGGCCTATGATACCATCAGTAGGCCTGGGCTCTGGGTTGTTCTTCGTGCTTTTGGAGTCCCTGACCCTCTGCTCACGATCATTAAGGACCTGTACACTTTGGGGTGCGAGAGGGATGTCCTCTGGCTCCCACATTTAACATCTATTTTGACCACGTAGTTCTTGAAGCCTTCAATAGCTGTACCGGGGGAATCTCCATTTGGTACAGATATAATGGGAGGCTGATCGATGCCTGGGTGCGGTCAAGGGATGGCTCCCTATTGCTCAACCACGTTATGTTTGCCGATGATTTGGTAATTGCTGCTCATTCAGAGGAGGAGTTGGAGACTCTGCTGCTGAGACTGGAACGTGCCACTAAGAGATGGGGCCTTACCATCAGCCCCACCAAAACGAAGCACCTGCCTGGGTATTTTATACCATCGGACACTCCACCCCCACAACTCCCAATCAGTGATGGCTCCAGTTTAACAGCAGAGGTCTCCGAATCAGTCGAGCGGCAATATCTTTTCATCGGTTGCGTAACGCTATGTGGAAGCTACCTGGTCTGTCGCTCCGTACTAAGCTTCAGGTCTTCTCGGCCACGGTCATTCCCTCCCTTCTCTACGCTTGCAAAACGTGGACCCCCTTAATGGAACATCTTCGCCGGTTAGAAACATTTAGGCTAGCCTGCCTACGATCCATCCTGGGTTTAACCAGGCTGGATTGTGTGAGGAGCTCACAAATCCTCGAAAGATCTGGGCAAGGTTCCATCGGTGACCTCCGGCAGGCATAGCTGCGTTGGCTGGGTCATGTAGCCCGCATGCCCAGCCACCGCATGCCGAAACAGCTTTTGTTCAGCCGGATTGAGGGGGCTAAACGGGCGCGGCACGGGCTAGAGAAGAGATGGAGTGATGTGGTACAGGAGGACGTGGAGCTGAGTGGACTTGCCGATGACCGGTACCAGCAGTGTCACGATCGGCCTCTGTGGAGGAGGCTCGTGAAGGACGCTACTGGGCAGTTGGAGGCAGTCGCCCTCCAACAACAACGGAGGGCGGAGGAGCTACGCTCACAACAACGAGCGGAGCGCCGGGTGGCTAAAGCACAGCAGGTTGGCACAGTAGGGGGCACAGGTGGTGCATCAGCCAGTCATCTCAGTCATCTCAGTCGACCCGTGGCACCTGCTGGGTCTGCCCCGTAACCTCTTGCCAGCGGGCGTTCGACACTTCACGTGGCCTCAAGGTGCACATAGCCTGGCACAAGCGTCGTGGTGACGTCACCGCCACTTAGTGGCGAATGGCGGTTGTGTTGTGAACCTGGCAACGCTATCGTGGACAGTGCTGTGGGGGGGGGGCCAATTCCGATTGGCCCTCTCCCCTCATGGCGTCTGTGACCACCACAGCGGCTAAATGGGGGCTCTGGATGGGTGCGAGGGGCTGGTAACCCCCTCCACCTTTCAATATATTACCACTAAACCACGTTAAAAATATCTAATTAATGAGCTTGTGCCGGAGGCCCCGGGGGGACAGGCGTCTATGACGTCTCCTGGCCAAACCCCAATTTGGCGGAGCCAGGAGACTGAATCTCTACCCTCGGGGCTCCTCCAGAAACAACGAAAAGCCACTTCGTGTGGCCACGTGGAATGTTCGAACGCTCACCGCGGAGGAGAGGCTGCCCACTCCTCCGTCGGGAGCTGGACCGGTACCGCCTGAATCTCTGTGGCATTCAGGAGGTCCGGTGGGACCGGCTCTGGCTCCTGTCACCGTGAGGGGTTGGACAGTCCCTCTACTCGGGGCAGCAGACTGCCAAACAGTGTTACTAGGGCTGGGTTGGGGGGGGGCAGGGTGAGACAAAGGCGGCCGGGCGTGGCGGTCCTGACCACACACCACCCACTACCAAATTCAAAATCAGCTTCCGAAAGACGTCTTCCCAATTCAATATAATACCTTCCCATTCCCGAAGACGTATTCCGGAAGACCCACGTGACCTACCGCTCATGAATAATTAATTAGCGTAGGTGGTGGTGGTTGTGAGGGGGGGGGGGAGATTCCCCGCGTCCCTATTGGTCCGTTTGAAATTTACGCCTCGCGCTGATTGGTCGGAGGCGTTGCAACGGTCGCGCGCTCTTAAACCGTCGTTTGGCCGAGGGTGAGTTGGAGGGTAATTTTTTGTTTTAATCCTCCCCTCCCGTCAAATATGTTTTGTTCAATTCAAACGCGAAATTAAAATGTTTTTATTTTTTTTATTTTTAAATCTTTATTGAAACCGAAGACGGTTTCCGATTCCAACAAGCGTTTTCCGTTGAGAATTCTTCCGATTCCGGAAGCGTCTTCCGGAAGACGTCTACCGAATTCCAAAATGTATCTTCCTATTCCGGAAGAGGTCTTCCGGAAAACCGGGCGTGGCCACCGTTCATGAATAATTAATTAGCTTAGGTGGGGGCGGTGGCTGGTGGTTGGTGGTGGTGGGTGGGGGTGGTTGGGGAAGATTCCCCGCGTTCTCATTGGTCTATTTGAATTTCACCCCTCGCGCTGATTGGTCGAGGCGTTGTAACGCTCGCGCGCGCTGGGATACCGACCGAGCGTTGAGGTGAGTTTGGCGGGATTATTTTTTTATCATCTTTTCTCCTCACAAATTTTGTTTAAAAACATTTTTTTTTATAAATGTAAATTTTTTGTTTTGTTTTGTTCGTTTAAAGAAGATGCAAGATGTCTTAATGCGTACCCAACTACTAACTAACTTAGTGTATATCGCGGTTAGCGCTACGAACCTGTCGAAACTCGCCAAGTGGCGAGTTTCTGGGCCGGTCCCGGGCCACCCCCTAGGTCGACTCAGCCTCAAATGAGTACCTGGTGGTTGTTGTGTTATAGTTGTGTTATAGTTGTTGTGTTATAGTTGTTGTGTTATAGTTGTGTTATAGTTGTTGTGTTATAGTTGTTGTTGTGTTATAGTTGTTGTTGTGTTATAGTTGTTGTTGTGTTATAGTTGTTGTGTTATAGTTGTTGTTGTGTTAGTAGTTGTGTTATAGTTGTTGTGTTATAGTTGTTGTGTTATAGTTGTTGTGTTATTGTAGTTGTGTTGTTGTGTTAGTAGTTGTTGTGTTATAGTTGTGTTATAGTTGTTAGTTGTGTTATAGTTGTTGTGTTATAGTAGTTGTTGTGTTATAGTTGTGTTATAGTTGTTGTGTTATAGTTGTTGTTGTGTTATAGTAGTAGTTGTGTTATAGTAGTTGTTGTGTTAGTTGTGTTATATATTCTTACTTTTTTCGGTAAAGTTACGTTGAAGGGAAACAACAAAATAATAAAATATATATGAAACAATAAAATATATTTTATTATTTTGTTGTTTCCCTTCAACGTGACTTTACCGAAAAAACTAAGAATATGAATTACTGCAGTCACGAAAGCTTTAAATCAAAATTTATTTGTGTTATAGTTGTGTTAGTAGTTGTTGTGTTATAGTAGTTGTTGTGTTATAGTTGTTGTTATAGTTGTGTTAGTTGTTGTGTTATAGTTGTTGTGTTAGTAGTTGTGTTATAGTTGTGTTAGTTGTTGTGTTATAGTTGTTGTGTTAGTAGTTGTGTTATAGTTGTTGTTGTGTTAGTAGTTGTTGTGTTAGTAGTTGTTGTGTTATAGTTGTTGTGTTAGTAGTTGTGTTATAGTTGTTGTGTTAGTAGTTGTGTTATAGTTGTTGTTGTGTTATAGTTGTTGTTGTGTTATAGTTGTGTTATAGTTGTTGTTGTGTTATAGTTGTTGTGTTATAGTTGTGTTATAGTTGTTGTGTTAGTAGTTGTTGTGTTAGTAGTTGTGTTATAGTTGTGTTAGTTGTGTTATAGTTGTTGTTGTGTTATAGTTGTTGTGTTAGTAGTTGTTGTGTTAAAGTTGTTGTGTTAGTAGTTGTGTTATAGTAGTTGTGTTATAGTAGTGTTAGTAGTTGTTGTGTTATAGTTGTTGTGTTATAGTTGTGTTATAGTTGTTGTGTTAGTGGTTGTTGTGTTATAGTTGTTGTGTTAGTTGTTGTTGTGTTAGTTGTGTTATAGTTGTGTTAGTAGTTGTTGTGTTATAGTTGT